GAGAACAAGATCTGTACTAGGCTTGATACTGGAAGCCGTGGGGAGCCCCTGAGGGATTTTTAAGCCAACAGGTGGCACAATCAGATTTGTATTTTAGAAAGATCCCTGTGGCAGCTGTATGTCTGATGGATTGGGCAGAGGCATTACTATTTCTGGGAAGACCAGTTAAGAATCTGTTGTAGCACTCCAAGCTAAAAATGAGATGGGAAAGCCAGAAAAAATGCAGTGATGGGGGGGGGGGGATAGAAAAGACAGAACTTATAGGAGAGATTGCTTAAGGAAGCAGAAACTTAGGACTTTAGAGAGTTTCTGTAGGAGGAAGAAATCAAGAAGGTTTATCTGTTATAGTCTTGGGCAGCTACGGTGGGAGATGATGGTGCTGTTAGCCCAGGATATGGAATACAGTACAAGTGCTGGAGCAGGGTGGGGAGAGATGATAATATATACTATTTTTAAAACTAAAATGAAGTTTACATACAGCAATATGCACAGAACTAAAACATACAAATCACTGAGGTTTTTTTTTTTAAGCAATATGTACCCATGTAACTAACACACCAATTAAGATATAAAACATTTCCTTAACCCTCAGAGTTTCCTTCTACCCCCTTCAAGTCAGCCTTTACCCCATTCATAAGCAGTGTTCTGATTTTTATCCCTATAGATCAGTTTTGTCTGTTGTCTTTTGTTCTCAGCATTTTTTTTCTGCCCCCACCACCACTTCCCCAGTATATTATTTTTGAGATCCATCCATGTTATTGTCTGTATTAGTAGTTCACTCCTTTTTATTGCTGAAGAGTATTCTGTTGTATGAATACACTACAACTTGTTTATCCATCTTCTATATCATGAATAAGACTGCTGTAAACATTGCTATATAAGTTTGTAAACGTGTTTTCATTTATCTTGTGTAAATATCTAAGTGTGGAGTTCCTGGGGCATAGAATGGATATATATTTAACTGTAAAAGAAACTGCTAGTTTTCTCAAGTGATTCTAGTATTTTATACGCCCACCAGCAATGTTATGAGAGTTCTGGTTGTTTCACATCTTTGCTGCTTTGATGCTTTTAGTGTTTTTAATTATAGTCACTTTATTGTGTATGAAGTGGTTTCTCATTATAGTTTTATTACAAATTGAGTAATAAGCTTTGTGAACTTATTGCCCATTCATTTTTCTTCTTTTGTGAAGTTTCTGTTCAAATTTTTTGGGCTATTTTTTTGGCTGGGCCCAGTGACTCACAGCTGTAATCCTAGCACTCTGGGAGGCTGAGGCGGGTGGATTGCCTGAGCCAGAGCAAGACCTCATCTCTTAAAAAAAAAAAAAATATGGTGGCCACCGGTAGTCTCAGCTACTTGGGAGGCTGAGGCAAGAGAATGGCTTAAGCCCAAGAGTTTGAGGTTGCTGTGAGTTGTGTGCCATGGCGCTCTACCAAGGGCAACAAAGTGAAATTCTGTCTCAAAAAATTTTTTTTAAAAAAGGGGGTTTTTTTGCCTGTTTTGGATTTTTTTTTAATTGAGTGCCAGAGTTCTCAATGTTCTGGGTACAAGGCCTTTGTCCTGTATATGCATCACAAACATTATCTCCTGTTCTATTACCTGTCTTTTTATTTTCTTAAAGTTACCATTTGGTGAGTGGAAGAATTTTTAGACCAATTTATTGAATTTTTTCTTTCATTGTTAGTGCTTTCATGTTCTAAGAAGTCTTTTCCTGCCCCAAGTTTTCAAATATATTTTCCTTTGTTTTCTTCCAGATGCTTCATAGATTTAGCTTTTATGTTTGGGTCTACAATCAATCTGGAGTTAATTTTTATATATAGTGTGAGTTGCAAGTCAAGGTTTTTGTTTTTTTTTTTAACATATGGATATCAAGTTGTTCTATGTAGATATGAAGCCTCTTATTGAAAAGCTTTTCTTTACTCAGTGAATTGCACTGACCTTTTGTCAAAAATGAGTACACTGATAATGTGCAAAGTTCTGTTTTTGGACTCTATTTTTCTTATGTCAATACAGTCTTATGGATGAGGTGTTAAGGGTGCCTGCATCATGTTGTCTTTTCTTACAGAGTGTTTTACTCTAGCAGGCAGTTAAATCACTGAGAAAGAACCTTTTGATCCTGTCAGGCTTGCTTTAATCCTTCCCATTTCAATTGAATACCTTTAATACCTTTCTGAATTTTTGAACTGAATAGTCTGAGTCTCAGCATGAATCCTCCATGTTGTTTGGGCCACATTCTGGTGTTTCCCAGCTCTGCATGATCTCAACTATTGTCATTTAGTTCTGAGCCCGTAACAGGTGTTCTTTACCAGGTCTGATGGGGTCTGGCCCATATCAGCCCAGTGCTCAGCCAAGAAACTGCCCACCTGCCCGCCCCCACTCTGTGCTTCTCTCTGTATTCTGGTGCACTGCCTCACAATGGCAGCAGCACAGAACTTGGGTCTGCCTGCTCGGCAAGACTGCCATGCTGCTTGGGCTCCATCTCCCCACACCACAGTAAGGAGATGTCCCTGAATGAAAGCTAGGGCATTCTTGGAACTCACCTCCTGTTTCCTTTCTTTTGAAAATCGTAGTCCAGAGCGACTTGCTGCTCAGTGCCTGAAGGCGTATATTCAGTTGCCACATACATTTTTGTCCAGGTTTATAGTTATTTATGACAAGAGGGAAAATGTACTTCTGATTATTCTTTCATGGCCTGATTGATATGAAAGTCAGGGTTCCATTTTGGACATGATGTTGAGTTTTTGTATCTATGCAGCATCCAAATAGAAATGCTGGACAATTGAGTTACCTATGGAGCTTGAAGGAGACAATAGGACTGGCAATTCAGGTTTTATAGTCAAGTATTTCCAGTGGTAGCTGAAGCCAAAGGAGATGGGATCACTCAGCTACAGCATGGGTAGAAGAACATTTTTCTAGACTGAGAAAGCATAGCTAAAGAAGCAAGGAGCAGGAGACATCAGTGCCGCAGAAACCACCTGAATAAAGTGGTGTCCGTCTGAGGGAGTGGCAGATGTCAGGACCCCAGCCTTTCTCTGTAATGTTTCAGAGCCTAGTTCTTCTCCAATGCTGCGGAGAAGATTCCTTGGGTGAATTATAGAAGGATCTACATACTCAGGTTCCAGTACTAACTGTAGAGTTTAAATCTTGGGGCTTAGATAACTGACAGGTATAATCAGCATTTTCATAAAATTGAGAGGAAAACCAATGCTTTGGAGCGGTTAACAATTAATTAAGGAATCTACCCTGTTTCTAGTTCTACTTTCTAGCTGTCTAGATATAATAGGGTTTCAGACTTGGAAGTTAGTCTAAATGATCTAACTCAGCTCTCTTGTGTTTTAGGTGGGAAAATTCACACTTATAAATGAGGGGGCTTTAGGTAGGTATAAAGAATGGAAATTCAATGAAGTCAGCTTATACCAAAAAGAGAATTTATAATAAGAATGCAGAGGCATCTGATGGCATTCACAGGGCAAGAGTGAAGCTGAGAGTAGACTGGAGCCACGCCCTTCGGTGCTATAGAGAAACAAGATGCCCTCTGCTTTCTCCTTTTTCTCTGCTTTTTTCTGTATCTCTGATTAATTCTTCTCTTAATGTAGATCAGCTTCTTTTGTCTTTCCCTTCCCCCCAGCCACCTGGGGAAAATGATCAACAGCAACTATTTCTGAGTTTATAGCTTAGGAAAGAAGCTATTCATCACTACCATTTAAGAAGCCAGCCTGGATGTAGAATCACAATTCATATTCTCCTGGAGAAAGTCTCAGTGGCCCAGTTGAAACAATCCCATTGGTTGGGGGACCATTGTTCTGTATACATTCTGCAGGGAATCCTACCTCTGTAATCACATGGCAGGGGAAGGTTATTTTCCAGCGAAAGCAAGGATGCAGATGGCTAAACAGCAAGCCTCATCGGTGTTCAGGACACTAGGGTTATGTCAATAACTGGTGACAGAGCAAACCCACAGTATATGACCCAGCTGCAGTCTTTCCTGGGGCTGCCTCACATGCGGAAACATTAGCAATGACTTTATCTTGGAATGAGGAACCTATTGGCATAAAGAGCAGAGGTCTCCTCCCTGAGAGTGTAGGGGATACAGAGCTCTAGGACCCTGACAGCCAAAAGTGGGTGCTGTCTGGATGATTCCAGACTTTCATTCGTTAGTCAGAGAATCCCAAATGAAACCTGCTTAAGCAAAAGGAAATTTATAGGAAGGTAATTGGGTACCTCACAAAATTGAAGGAAAGTCTGTAGGTTCCAGGGCATCTTCAAGAATCTAGAATCAGTGCCACCAGGACACATACATACATACATGCTCATCTTTTTACTTTTTTTCTTCCTCTTTTTCAATCTTCCATCTTTCATATCTACTTGTTTGTGTTTGGCTATTATACCACAAGGTCTCCTTCAAAAAGTAGGGAACCTGGTAAGTCCAGGGTTGTACATATTCTTTGGTTTCTTTTGTTGTTGTTGTTGTTGTTGTTGTTGTTGTTGTTGTTGACAGAGTCTCACTCTGTTACCCTGGATAGAGTGCTGTGATGTCTTAGCTTACAGCAACCTCAAAATACTTGGACTCAAGTGATTCTCTTGCCTCAGCCTCCTGAGTAGTTGGGACTATTGGTGCCCACCACAACACCTGCCTAATTCTTTTTTCTTTCTATTTTTAGGAGAATCAGGGTCTTACTCTTGCTCAGGCTGGTCTTGAACTCCTGAGCTCAAGCAATCCACCTGCCTCGGCCCCCCAGAGTACTAGGATTACAGGTCTGAGCCACTGTGCCCATCTGGTCATACAAATTCTTATAGTACTGACCAAAAAGAAGAGTCTTCTTTGCTAATTCCAGGTAGAAAGAGTCCACAGTGGGATTCAGATTGAGAGGATAGAACATCCAATTCGCTGGGCCTTTTTTACATGTTCAATGCTTGGACTCAGAACATGACAGCGGGTATTTTAAGAAGGGGAACAGTAAGCAAGGTAGACAAAAACCTTTTGTTTTATGTCTATCTTTAGGTTACCATGGAGGCTGGTGGCCTCCCCCTGGAGCTGTGGCGCTTGATCTTAGCCTACCTGCACCTTCCTGACCTGTGCCGCTGCAGCCTGGTATGCAGGGCTTGGTATGAACTCATCCTCAGTCTCGACAGTACACGCTGGCGGCAGCTGTGTTTGGGCTGTACAGAGTGCCGCCACCCCAACTGGCCCAACCAGCCTGATGTAGAGCCTGAGTCTTGGAGGGAGGCCTTCAAGCAGCATTACCTTGCCTCTAAGACATGGACCAAGAACGCTTTGGACTTGGAGTCCTCTGTCTGCTTTTCTTTATTCCGCCGGAGGAGGGAAAGACGTACCCTGAGTGTTGGACCAGGTCATGAATTTGACAGCCTGAGCAGTGCCTTGGCAATGGCCAGCCTATATGACCGAATTATGCTCTACCCAGGTGTATATGAAGAGCAAGGTGAAATCATCCTGAAGGTGCCCGTGGAGATTATAGGGCATGGGAAGTTGGGCGAAGTGGCCCTTATAGCCAGCATTGATCAGCACTGCTCAACCACACGCCTGTGTAACCTCATCTTCATGCCAGCCTGGTTCTCACCCATCATGTATAAGGTGAGTGTTCACATCGAATAAATGGCCTTTCCAGTCCTGATCTGGCCTCATCTCAGTGGATTTGTAGTCCCTTTTTTGTTAGAATTGAGTAGCTTAGTATACACACTCCTGAATTCTGGACTAGTTAAAATTTTAATAGGCACAGGGATCAGTATGATTCAAAATTCTACTTTATTTATGGCAAGGCTGTATTAATAAATGAGGTTCGGGATTGGCGCCTATAGCCTGGTGCTGGCCACATACACATCCCTTGCTGGTAGGTTCGAACCCAGCCCAGGCCAGTTAAACAACAATGATAACTGCAACAAAAAAATAGCCCGGCACTGGGGCAGGCGCCTGTGGTCCCAGCTACTCGGGAGGCTGAGGCAAGAGAATTGCTTAAGCCCAAGTGTTTGAGGTTGCTGTGAGCTGTGTTGCCACAGCACTCTACTGAGGGCACCATAGTGAGATTCTGTCTCAACAACAAAAAAATGAGGCTCACCTTTTTACCTTTTTTCTTCCTCTTTTTCAATTTTCATCTTTCATTTCTGCTTAACTGTCATACCACAAGGTCTCCTTCAAAAGGTAGGGAACCTGGCAGGTCCAGGGTCATACATATTCTTTTATTTATTTATTTATTTATTTTGAGCTAGAGTCTCACTTTGTTGCCCTGGATAGAGTGCTGTAACATCTTAGCTCACAGCAACCTCAGAACAAATGGGCTCAAGTGATCCTCTTGTCTCAGCCTCCTGAGTAGTTGGGACTATAGGCACCTGCCACAATGCCTGCCTAATTTTTTTTTCTTTCTGTTTTTGGTAGATTTGTGGTCTCACTCTTGCTCAAGCTGGTCTTGAACTCTTGAGCTCAGGCAATACACCTACCTCAGCCTCCCAGAAGTTGCCTAGAAACTTGGATTGTGGCTCGGCGCCTATAGCTCAACCGGCTAAGGCGCCATCCACATACACCTAAGGTGGCAGGTTCGAATCCCCAGCCCGGACCCGCCAAAACAACAATGACGGCCGCAACCAAAAAAAAAAAATAGCCGGGCGTTGTGGCGAGCGCCTGTGGTCCCAGCTACTTGGGAGATGGAGGAGGAGACTCGCTTGAGCCCAGGAGTTGGAGGTTGCTGTGAGCTGTAATGCCATGGCACTCTACCCAGGGGGACAGCTTGAGGCTCTGTCTCAAAAAAAAGAAACTTGGATTGTGTACCTAATCAATAAAAATTAATATCGCTACTATTTTTTCTATTTTTCTATATATTTCTATTATTACTACCAATAGCAACTTAATTTTTTTTTTAAGTCAGAATCTCGCTTTCTTACCCCAGCTAGAGTGCAGTGGCATCATCATAGCCCACTGAAACCTCAAACTCCTGGGCGTAAGCAGACTTCCTGTCTCAGTCTCCTTTGTAGCTGGGACTATAGATATACACCATGATGACCATCTAATTTTTGTATTTTTAGTAGAGATAGGGGTCCTTTTTGGGGGGGACAGTTTCACTATGTCTCCCTCGGTAGAGTACTGTGACATCACAGCTCACAGTAACCTCAAACTCTTCAGTTTAAGCGATTCTTTTGCCTCAGCCTCCCAAGTAGCTGGGGCTACAGGTCCCCGCCACAACGCCCAGCTATTTTTTTTGTTGCAGTTGTCATTGTTGTTTTTCAGGCCCCAAGCCGGGTTCAAACCCACCAGTCCTGATGTATGTGGCTGGTGCCCTAATCACTGAGCGATAGGCGCCTAGCCAGGGGTCTTACTTTTTCTTAGTCTGGTCTTTAACTCCTGATCTCAAGCAATCAGTCTTTTCATCTCGACTTCCCAGAGTGCTAGGTTTATAATTATGTGCCACCGTGCTAGCCAACAACTTAAAATTGTCTCTTATGTTTGTAATGATCATGTTCTTTTCTTTCTTTCTTTTTTTTTTTTTTTGAGATAGAGTCTCACTCTGTTGCCCAGGCTAGAGTACTGTGCCATCAGCTTAGCACACAGAGGCCTCAAACTCCTGGGTTCAAACAATCCTCCTGCCTCAGTCTCCCAAGTAGCTGGGACTATGGGTGCCCACTACAACGCCTGGCTAATTTTTCTATTTTTAGTAGAGATGAGGGTCTCACTCTTGCTCAGACTGGTCTCAAACTCCTGAGCTGAAGCTATCTTCCTGCCTTGGCCTCCCAAGGGAGTATAGGCGAGAGCCACCATACTCGGCCTACACCATTTTTGATGCACTTAGTATATGCCAAGCATGTACTTTCTAGCCATCATCTCATTTATTCCTCTTAGCATCCCTGTGGGATAGGTAGTGTCATCTGATTTTATAGATGAAACTGAGGCTCAGCAAGACTAAGTGACATACCCAGGGTCTCAGACTTAGTACAGGACAAAGCTGAGATCCAAAGCCTATATTCATAATCTAGGAGACTTCCATCTGTGACCTCGTTTGATCCCCACCACAAACACATGTGGTAGGCATCATGCTGTCCCCATTTTGCAGATCAGGAGGTTAGAGATGTTGAGTAATTTTCTCAAGTTAGTAAATAGTAAGGTTAGACCTCAAATCCAGGCCTTCTAATCTAAGCATTTATAAAATTATAAGATGCTAGATTCCCTGGGAGCTTAAAAGCCTATCATGTAGCTCTAGAATGTTTCAGAAGAACTGATGAGCTTCTTTTGTGCTGGTCTGTAGATCCAGAAGGACCTTTTGTCTCTAAAAAAGAAACAATGTTCCAGATCCTTCACCTTTATAATAAATTTATTCTTAGAGTAATATGTTAATTTTAGCCACCATCAGAAGTACAGCCTTAGATCCTCAAGGAGGTGGGATGGGGTGGCCTCAGGCTTCTCTGTGGCCTGCCATCTGGCTTAGTGCTCAGTACATGTTAGTACTTGGCTCATGGTTGTGTTTTAACTAAAAAAGACCTGGGACCTAGGATGCCTTGCCAGAAAAATGCAAAGGCCAAGGTGATTTCTTAGCAGTTTTCAGTGACTTTCAGGGAGAACCATCTATAGAGAGCTGACTTTTATCTTTAGAGTGGAAATGGTTTCCTAAGGAGTAGTAAGAAAAAATTCGGAAGGAAGAAGACTTAAAGAGGTTAAGGGAGTTATGTTCTGGGATAAGCTATCAAGGGAGGTCACTGCTAAAGAGTTTAAAAAATTGTGCAAGGGGTAAATGTGTCTGGATTACTAAATGGGATCATGAGACACCTCCTCATTTTATGGTTCAAATACATCTGACAGAATTTGTATGAAATCGAGAAACAGTTTTTTTCAGGAATATAGAACAAATGGATCTCACCAAGCTTACTTCTCCATCAGGCCCAGAGAGCTGAGGGGTCAGATGAACTATGATGTAGGGTCAGCACTTCCCCAACCCTACCCCCATCGCAGACTCTTGAGGATATTATGCTTTTTGCGTTCCTGACCCCAGATGATAATAGCACCAGTTTTGTGCCTGGTACTATGCTTTGTTGATTAGTGAGCTGTGGCCCACAGAGAAGGAAATGGGCTTAAAGAGGTGAAGGCATTTGTCTAAGATAGCACACTTGAAAGAGTCAGCCCCCCAAGCCCATGCTTTTAAGCACTGTTCAGTATTTTCCTGGTCATGGCAGCATAGCTTGTTCTTCTCTTCAGAGACGTGACCTGGTGTTTTTTGCTGTGACCACAGGATCCAATAGCCACATAGACCTCTTTCCTAGTAAGAGGTCTGTGTGGCTGGGCCTCCCCCACTGCCTGTCCCAGTGCAGGCAGGGTTTAAGACTTGAAGTTTTAGGAAAGGTTATGCTGCAGAGTAAGAACTTTTTTGCCATCATTCACTCTTGTCCCCCTTCCCTTGAGATTAGAAAGATGGAAAGGTAGGCAGCTCCCAAGCCTCCTCCCTCTCTGATGCAAGGCAGTTCTCCAGTTCCTTTTAGGGGCCACCAACACCCCTGCCCTGGTGGGGAAGGGGAGATGATCAGCAGAACAAATGGCTTTTCCATGCTCTACCCTCCTTAAAGAGCAGTTAAAGAGTGCAAAACAAATTATATCCCTCTAGGGCGGTGTCTGTGGCTCAGTGGGTAGGGCACCGGCCCCATATACTGAGGGTGGCGGGTTCAAACCCAGCCCCAGCTGAACTGCAACCAAAAAATAGCCAGGCACTGTGGCGGACGCCTGTAGTCCTAGCTACTCGGGAGGCTGAGGCAAGAGAATCGCTTAAGCTCAGGAGTTAGAGGTTGCTATGAGCTGTGTGACACCACGGCACTCTACCAAGGGCAACAAAGTGAAACTCTGCATCAAAAAAATAAAACAAAACAAAACAAAACAAAAAAACAAATTATATCCCTCTAATAGCCATTTTCTCCTTTTCATTCCTCAGACAACATCAGGTCACGTCCAGTTTGACAACTGCAACTTTGAGAATGGACACATCCAGGTCCATGGCCCAGGTACCTGCCAAGTGAAGTTTTGCACCTTCAAAAACACCCATGTCTTCCTGCACAACGTGCCCCTCTGTGTCCTGGAAAACTGTGAATTTGTAGGCAGTGAAAACAACTCTGTGACTGTTGAGGGTCACCCATCTGCAGATAAGAACTGGGCCTACAAGTATCTGCTAGCACTTATCAAGTCCTCTCCCACTTTGCTGCCCCCAGAGGACTCTGATTTTTTAATGTCCCTGGACCTAGAGAGCCGAGACCAGGCCTGGAGCCCAAAGACTTGTGACATTGTAATTGAGGGCAGCCAGAGCCCTACCAGCCCAGCTGCTAACTCCCCAAAGCCAGGTTCCAAGGCTGGCTCACAGGAGGCAGAGGTGAGCAGTGATGGGGAAAGGGTGCCCCAGGCCTCAGACAGCAGCGATGGAGGCCTGAGTCCCAGTGGTGAAGATGAAGATGAGGAACAGCTCACATACAGACTGTCTTACCAAGTGCAAGGCCCACGCCCAGTACTGGGGGGCTCCTTCCTGGGCCCACCCCTGCCAGGAGCATCCATTCAGCTGCCCAGCTGCCTAGTGCTGAACTCACTGCAGCAAGAGCTGCAGAAGGACAAGGAGGCCATGGCACTGGCCAACTCTGTGCAGGGCTGCCTCATCCGCAAGTGCCTCTTCCGGGATGGAAAGGGAGGCGTCTTAGTCTGTTCCTATGGCCAAGCCAAGATGGAAGGAAACATCTTCCGGAACCTGACTTACGCAGTGCGGTGTATACATAATAGCAAGGTGCTGTCATAAGGGCTGTAGACAAAGGAGGCCTCACTAGGTCTCTAGAAACTTGACTTTTGGTTGATGAGAAGGCTCCTGTGCTGCATGTGGAGAGGGTTTAATGGGGCTATTTAGCATTTGTAAAGGGGGAGAGGGCAGGAACTATTTTTCTCATATCACAAAAAAGGAAATAGTCCCAGAGAGGAAAGATGACTTACACAGGGTCCAAGTCTACTGCAATCCAGTGTGAGAGGTCTTATGATAAAGGCAAGCCATGGATGGCATAGGAGCCCAAAAAAGGGGGCACCCGACCTAGCCTCAAGGAACCAGGACAGGTTTCCTGGAGAAACAGTGCGTAGGCTGAGCTGTAAGGAAGAATAAGACTTGGCAAGGTGAAGGTGAGAGGCAAAGAGAGCGTGTGTGAAGCCTAGAGGTGAGAGTAGACACAGCACTTGCAAGGGGTTAGTTATGGACAGACGGGGAGGTGAAGGAGGGAGGAGGGAGTCAGCAGGAGCTAGATCAAGGCCACAGAGGTCTAGCGAGTAGTTGTCCTTGAGGGAAACTTTTAAGCAGAGAATTATGGACAAATCTGGTTGTTTTTTTTTTTTTTTTTTTGAGAGGGAAACTTTTAAGCAGAGAATTGTGGACAAATCTGGGTTTTTTTGTTTGTTGAGACAGAGTCTTTGTCACCCTTGGTAGAGTAGTATGACGTCACAGCTCACAGCAACCTCAAACTTTTGGGTTAAAGCGATTCTCTTGCCTCAGCCTCCTAAGTAGCTGAGATTACAGGCATGAGCCACCACACCCGACTTCTTGAAACTGTATAACTTTAATCTGTCCAACTAGGAACTGTATCATAACAGCTCCCAAGTCTGCATGTCAGGGTATATCTCCAGCACTCCAGACCCAGACAGCCAGGTGCTCCAGATGTCTGGTTCAGTATAGACACCATATATGCTCCAAATTTTATGTGCCCAGACAGGACTACTCTCTATAGCCATACCCTAAACTCCCCCCCTTTTCCTGCCCCTGCATCCTGGTGTCTTGGGCCAGAAATCTCAGCCTCAGCCCCTGACTATTCCCTCCCCAGATCCTCCTTTCTGCCTTGCCAGACTGCCCTCTTCCCTCTCTCCATATCCACTGTTCTTCACTGATCTCTTTGCCTCTAGCCTTGTCCTCCTCCATTCCATTCTCTACAAATAATGAGCTTTCAAAAACCAGATTTATTGGCTCGGCGTTTGTAGCACAGTGGTTACAGTGCCAGCCGCATACACTAAGAGTGGCAGGTTCAAACCCAGCCCAGGCCAGCTAAACTGCAACAAAAAAATAGCCAGGTGTTGTGGCAGGAGCTCAGGAGTTCAAGACTAGTCTAAGCAAGAACAACACCCCGTCTCTTAAAAAAAAAAAACAAAAAAAAAAAAACTAGCCAGGTATTGTAGCAGGCACCTGTAGTCCCAGTTACTTGGGAGGTTGAGGCCAGAGGATCACTTGAGCCCAACAGCTTGAGATTGCTGTGAGCTGTGACGCCACAGCACTCTACCAAAGGCAACAAAGTGAGGCTCTGTTTAAATAAATAAATAAAGTTAAACACCCTCAGTCATAGCCATCTTGAGCAGTTGCCCTATGGGACTTTTGGCAGGAGCTGTGACACCACAAATTCCTACTGAATTTCTACCAAGGCACCTGAAAAACTGATAGTTAGGAGTTTTAACTATAAAAAGGTCCATGGTGTCTCAGGAGCACCACACATCAGGAATAATTACATGCTTAGTGGTGTGAATAGAAGCAGGGAGCTGTGTGGCGGAGTGCAGGGCTTACTGAGCTGGTTCTGTGCTGAGAATAAGGCCTTAATCCAGAGGTCACAGGGCCATCAACCTGTCTCTGCCTTCTAGAACATTCCAGAAGGGCAAAGGCTGTCAGGAAGAGGCAGGTTTGCCTGAGGTGCCAAGAAGAAAAGGCGGTTGTGGCTTGGCGGCTATAGCTCAACCGGCTAAGGCGCCAGCCACGTACACCTAAGGTGGCGGGTTTGAATCCCCAGCCTGGACCCGCCAAACAACAATGACGGCTGCA